GCCCCGCTCCGGCGGCAGCAGAGGGGCTGGGGCAGGAGCGGGTGGCAGAGCGGGGCCTCCTGATCCTTCCTGCCGAGCGGGAACGTCCTCACGCCAGGAATTGCTGGCACAGGCTCCGGGCACGGCGCTGCCTGCCCGTCCGCACGCACGGGCTGCTGCCGGCTCCGGGCTAAAGGGGCCGGACACCTCTGCACCTCATGGAGCGCTTGGTGCCCTGCTGTCCGCGCACAGGGAAGCCCCGGTCCTTCCCGGGGGCTCCTCTGCACCAGGAGAAACGCGGCTTCTAGTGAGGCCGAGGGGAAGGCAGGGATCGCCAGAGCCTCCTGCCTGGCACCAGGACTTGGCCAGCTCTGGTGCAGATGGTCAGGGAGGGCTTTGCCAGGGAATGTCGCCTTTTCCCGAGAACCTGCGCGGCCGAGCCCTGCACGGAAACGCACCTTGGCAGCGGCTCAGGCAGCCGGAGGGCTGCTCCAATCATCTGCTGCGTGCTCGGGCATCCTCGCCAAGCCGTGCACGGGAGCGGGAGCATCCCTGCTCCCCATGGCCATGATGGCTCCTGTCCCATCCCCATCCCCATTCCCTGCAGCCAGGACGGCCCCTGCCCCCATCCCCATCCCTATCCCTGCAGTGGGACCAGGGGCTGCTGTCCCTGCTCCGCTCCTGCGGCCGCTCCGGGTCGCCGCTGCTGGGGAAAACCATGACTGGAGCCTTCAGCCCCTTCAATTACTGTCAGTTAATGATGATTAATTTACAATTAAGGACCTCCAAAGGGTAGTGTGTGTTAAATAAATATTGATCTTTCATTTGTGGCTGCAGATATATTGCCCTGTTGCAGGAAGCCAACCAGCAGCAAGTCCATGCAGCTCTGCGAGCGGCAGAGCTGGCCCTGGATCATCGCCTGGAACCAGGGATGCGCCGCTGCTCCGCTGGGAGCTGCTGGGAGTGACTGGGAGTGACTGGGAGCTGCCGGGAGGCACCGGGATCTGCCGGGAGGCACCGGGAGCACCGTCACCCCCGGGAGCCCTGGGCACGCGCTGCCATCTCCCGTGCGAGGGCGATTCCCGTCTACCCGCGCTTCGTCCTGCCCCTGCAGACCTCTACAGCTCGCTGCTGTTCGGGGATGTCACACACAAAATGCCACTGCGTCCAGAGTTCTGTAATTTTCTTGCCCTGTCCCATGTGTCTTAAATGTTTCCTGTGCCGGAGTGTCCTCTGACACCAGCTGGCTTTGCTGCCGATAATGAGCGCACTCTCCCAGATGTACTTTTCTACAAATCTTTTATCAGTTAGTTGCTAACTCTAAGGCTCTCCACATTTTCCATGTGACTATTTTTAACTTGTGCCTTTGAAGCGTTCGTAACTGCTTTGTTGGTGTGGAAATGGCTATCGAGGCGCTATTGGTGCCGGCACCAAATCCAAAACGAAGCTTCCAGAAAACCCCTCGGGCGTTCAGAGCGGCACCGCTCGGAGCGCGGCCGCCCCGAGGTGACTTTCTCCTAATTCCCTGCAGCTTCCCAGGACCGGGTCCTGGCCGTGTCCGCGATGCCCCAAGCAGCAATCCCAAGCCTGGAGCTCGGGGGCAGCCCTGGTCGCTCCGGTGGGACACGTAGGTGGGTCCGGAGTCCGGACCCTGATCCTGCTGCCGCCTCCTGCCCCGGAGCATCCCGGGGCTCCCGGCACCTCCGCCCCTTCCCACCGCGCTCCTTGCGAGCGGCTCACAAGGACAATATTGTCTCCGGCTTCCACTTGTATTTGAGGCGTGTATTTAAAATGATGCTTTTGTTCCAAATGAATGGGTTGATTCATTCAGAAGTGCAGTTTCTGTTTTTGAATCAGCAGAGCTGTTTATGCTCATAGTGTCCATAAAAATGTTATTTTAGTCCTGACACTGATGCTTATGAATAAAATTTAGATCTCATTCAGAAGTACATTAGCTGTAGCTATTTGGCTTCTTGTTAAAGCATTAATTTTTATTGAGAAAAATACATTGCCAAGCAGTTCCTTCTCCGTCTTGCAGCAAAGTGAAGAGATGAAATCACATCACGTGCCCCTCCTGCCCTGGCACTCGCCAGCCCGTGGACTTGCTCTGCTCTGGTTTATTCTCTGGTTGGTTGTGTCGGGAATGTCTCAGCTTTGCTGGGAATGTGAGGCTGGAGCAGGCGCAGCGCGGCGGCTCCATCTGCGGCCGCCGGTGCTGGCACTGCCGCCTCTCCAAGGGCCGGCCCGGGGCGCGATGCAGCCCATTGCCTCTCCCGGGGAGTTATTGCACGTTTTGGGCTTGAAGCAAGCTGCTAAATGTAAAAAAACACTGTAGCATTTTAGCTGAAAGTTAATTTTTTAATAGATTCCACCTACAAAAAGGAGCTGACTGGCAGAATATTAAATTCTGGGAGATGCATTTTTAATCCTTGCCTCCAAACCGCTCAAGATAACCATTTTTGGCTGATGATCGCCGCTGTCCCTTGGTGCGGCACACAGCACACAGCTGCCGCACGCTCGTGTCCCACCACGCCGGAGCATCCCAAGCGCTGCTGCACGCTCACATCCCACCACACCGGAGTATCCAAGTGCTGTTGCTCACGTGTCCAGGTCCAGATTTGGCAATCAGGTCACTGCTCGACATACACCTGGTTCTGATGACTAAGGTGACTCTATTTTTTCTCAATAATAAAATGAGCTATTTTGAGTGATGCTAGATTTAATGGCTAAATCAATATGTGTATTTAGTGTTAGGCTTTATTTTAGCACTAAGTGACACAAGATAAGCAGTCTTAGAGAGTGCTAATTGGTTTGTGTTCAGCATTTACACTAATGGGCGCGCGGTGCTGCCCGGGGCTCCCCGGTGCCGCTGTTTGTGCAGGGTGTGCTCTGGTTGCTCTATTGACTGCCCGGGAACCCGCCTGTTTTCCCACCTCCTGGAACGCTGCCGTGCGGAACCTGGCGCACGGGCCCCGATCCGCCGTGCACGAGGGACCAGGGCTGGAGCGTGCCGGGAGCGCAGCCCTCGCCCGCACCCACGGTGGGGTTAATGCAAAACGCATTTGCTTCCATCCCCTGCTGGCCACGCG